GGAGACAGGTGAGTATTACTCTGACTTCCTGAGACAACACACGGTTTTCTCACTCACACGGACATTAATGACTACACGCAATACACCTGACAGGGTGTTCATCTGCTCACAGCCTTCTCTACATTCCCCCAGGATTTCCCCCATCTCACTTTTAAAAAATCTTGTCAGTACTTTGTAATTCTTCTCTGTTATTTTCTGTCTGTTAATTTTAAACAATTCAAATGGACAAGAAGACATGATTACTGCCCACAAGGAGTTTACATGGTCTTGGTTTTCCTACTGAGACTAACACAGTTTTTCATAAAGACTGGTTGTTTAAAAGACTGATTATCAATCTCTTTTCCACAACTGACCTTGATTTGGCTACTGTTTCTGGAATGAGAATGACAAAGAAGACTTAGCTCCAGAAATAGAGCAGAACCAGTGTATGTAACTACCAACTTACCAATACCCATGATAGAGGGGTCACAGCCAGACGCAAAGTAGCCCACAACTCGTGCCAGTGGTGTGAAGTTATGTTTTTTAACAGCATCCTCACTAGCTATGACAACAACTCCAGCACCATCAGATACCCCCTTGGAAACAAAAACAGAAGATTAACTAGAGGGTACAGAATCCAGTTCATCAAAGTGAAGCAGTACTATTAGGATTATGGCATTACATAGGAAGCAGTGCCATAATTTGTGCTAGTGGTGGATTAAAGAGATTGTTTTAGGCACAGAATACAAATGGAGAGAATGCCAAGGAAAAGCCTATAGCCAGATGCAGGTAGATATAAGGAGAAATCTGATGAATTGTATATATGAGAAAGAAAAAATTATGAAAACTAAAATAACAAACCAGGTAGATTCCCTTCTAACGTTTTGAAAAGACTATAAAATGGAAATATAAGGGCACCTGCCGAAAGTATTTTGAACTACAAAAACCCAAATTAATAGAATATGAGCTTGATTACTTTAAGCTACATAACTAAAGACTAGCATGAAAAGTATCTGAAAGACACTGCATGATTATTTTGCATCAAAAAATTGAGAAGAATTCAAGAATATCTGTGAAGCTACCTACCGACGCGTTCCCTGCAGTAACGGTCCCTTCCTTCTTGAACACGGGCGGGAGTTTATTTAACTGTTCCAGGGTTGTTTGGGGCCGGGCATGCTCATCGACCTGCATGGTCTGTTTTCCTTTCCTTGTCTTCACCTCAATTGGCACCATCTCACTGTTAAAGTAGCCAGCATCATTAGCTGAAATAGTTGAAGGAATATAAGAATGGGGGGAAAGAAAAGAAACTAAGTCAAACATAGCCTTCGATTTAATTTCTAGTCTACTTTCATATGAGCCTTTATTACTTATATGAGACCCAGACCCGGCAGACCCCACCCCCGTCAAGCC